CTAGAACATCTGCAATATTTCTAACTCTTGAGTGCTTGGGGTTACAGAGGGATGGCTTCAGAGCCAGGATCCTGAGTGTTGGGGAAGATGGAACAGGAAAGCCTTATCAATATGATTGTCTGGCAAAAGATTTTGAGAATATGGAAACTGTAAGTGAGATTGAAATGAAAGCAAGCTTTGAGATCCCTCAGTTACTGAACACCTGGAAAACAATGGTGTGGCCGGCTGAAGGTGATCCCCTTTGGATGGAACAACATCCTCTGCTTGCAGACAGGCCCAAGGGTTAGAGCAGACCCTACAGCTTGGCAGAAGGGGCCTAAAGAGGAGTTTTTAGGGTTTAAAATGTAGCACAGGATGGTGATGTCATGATTCTTAATAGGCTGTTTGTAAATGCTATAGGATTTGTATATTGTACTAGATTGGTTACTGAGAATCAGAATATTCAACACAGAAGAAGATTTATGGTATTGTAATGGGAACCTCGCTCTCTTACCCTTCATACTTTTTTACCCTTTTTACTCCCTTACTCTCTCACCCTCTCATCCTCTCTCCCCCTCTCTTCTCTCAGGCCTGCTCTGAGCTGTGGCTGGCAGCTCCCAGCAGGGCCCTGCACCCAGGCCCTTTGCAATAAACCCCAAGTTCCATGACCTGGCTGCAGAGATCTCTCATCTCCATCAATCCCCACCATCCTACCCCCCTGACGCTCCTACACCTGAGTGCTGCTCCTTACATGAGTGTGTTTTTAGTAAATCTTGCAGAATAACTGTGTCCCTTTGCCCCGTGCAGGTACGGCTACAATGACATTGTCACCATCCCCGCCGGAGCCACCAACATCGACATCAAACAGCGCAGCCACCGGGGGCTCCGGCACGACGGGAATTACCTGGCCCTGAAGACCCTTGAGGGCAAGTACCTGCTCAATGGAGACTTTGCCATCTCAGCCATGGAGCAGGACATCCTCATTAAGGGCACCATCCTCAAGTACAGCGGCTCCATGACCACTCTGGAGAGGCTGCAGAGCTTCCGACAGCTCCCCGAGCCCCTGACCGTGCAGCTGCTGACCATTGCCAGCGAGCTCTTCCCACCCAAAGTCAAGTACACCTTCTTCATCCCCAAGGACGTCCCTTTCAGCAAGCAGAAGGGCAAAGAGAAGAAGTCAGTCAATGTCATCCGGCCGATGCTGACCTCCCAGTGGGTGCTGGGGGACTGGTCCGAGTGCTCCAAGACGTGTGGCTCCGGCTGGCAGCGGCGCACGGTGGACTGCCGGGACGTGGAGGGTCAGACCTCCTCTGCCTGCAACAGATCCCTCAAGCCTGAGGACATCAAGCCCTGTGGAGACGTNGCCCCTGGGCGAGCACCACGTGATGGCCCCGCTCTTCGTCCACCTCAACAAGAGCCAGCCCTGGTCCCCCTGCAGTGCCATGTACCTCACTGAGTTCCTGGATGGAGGCCATGGTAAGGCTCCAGCCTGTTGTGTTTGTGGGGTTCCCAGGTGAAGGGAGGAATGATGAATCTGACTCCATGTTCTTAGAATGCTAATCTATTATTTTATGATACTAGATAATATTAAAGAATAAACATTAAAGAACTTCTACACTATACAGGGGTAGCTTCTGGCACTATATTATACTTCTACACTATACTAAAGGATACAGAAAGGCTAAAAGATAATAATGAAAATATAATAATGAAATAATATTATTAATAATAATACAGGGGTAGCTTCCGGCACTATACTATACTTGTACACTATACTAAAGAATACAGAAAGGATACTTACAGAAGGCTGAAAGATAATAATGAAAACTCTTTCCAGAGCTTCAACACAGCTTGGCCATGATTGGCCAATGAGTGAAAACACTCACACCAGAATCCAGTGAAAAATCTCCAAACACATTCCAGAGCAGCAAAACACAGGAGAAGCAAATGAGATAATATTGTTTTCGTCTTTCTCTGAGGCTTCTCAGCTTCCCAGGAGAAGAATCCTGGGCAAAGGGATTTTCCCAGAACGTGTGACAGTGACACCAGTCAGCTGCAGCATCTCTCCAAACAGCCTTTTCTTAGCTCGGGCTCTTTCAATAACAACTCTCCTAAAATACAAGTATTTGACTAATTCAGAGTCTAGGGGACGTAGAGATTAGACCAAAGGCTGTTTAGAACTGGGAGCTTTGAATTGCCTATAAGAGCAAGCCCCAAATAATAAACCCGGCTGTTTGGCTGATGAGCAGCCGAGGTGTGTCCTATGTTATGTCTCAGACACGTGAACATCACAGACCTGGGGGGGTTTGTGGGGTGAACAGGGAGTCAAACCAGGCCATGGGCAGAGGTGTGGGTTGCCCAGTCAGTGGCACCACGCCCTGGGAGCTCCATCTCCAGCCTAACTGTGAGCCTTGCCCAGGTGACTGCCTGCTGGATGCCCCGGCCGAGCCCGTGTCCCTGCCTGCCGAGCTGCCCGGCCAGAGAGCCCTGTACAGCCTGGACCAGCAATGCCAGCAGATCTTCGGCAAGGACTTCCAGCACTGCCCCAACACCACGGAGGAGGACATTTGTGCCCAGCTGTGGTGCAGGACGGGCAGTGGGGAGCCCCTCTGCCACACCAAGAATGGCAGCTTGCCGTGGGCTGATGGAACGCCCTGCAAAGCCGAGGGGCTGTGCTGGGACGGGCGCTG